AGAAGTTCTTTAACTTTCTTTTTTACTTTTTTACTTAGTTTTTTTATATTAGCGGTTAATTTTTTAATAATAGCTAGATCTAATTTCTAGTTATTCGATTTTATTAATTTAATAAAATAAGGATATATAATAAAGAAATACTTTTCTTTATATATATATTATAACTATTTCTTTAAAGTCTTATTTAATAAAGAGGTTATCTAATTAGTAAAAGAAGTAGTTAGTTTTACTTCCTACTTATTATTAAGTATTATAAAAACTTCCTATAAGGCTTTACTCTTAGGTTTTTTTTTATTAAAAAATACTCGCTTAGAGTAGTAAGTATTAATAATACTTATAAAAATAGTCTATTATTTTATTATAAATATCTTAATATATTATTAGTAATAGAACTATAATTTATAAGATATTAATATTTATAGAAAGTTATAAATAGTATTTTTTTTAGACTTAATAAAGTCTATCTTCGCTACTTTATACTCTATATAGAGGTTTTTAATTTTTAATAATTATATATTAATATCTATATTTTTAATTAAGATAAAGAATAGCTTATTTTATTATCTCTTAATAAGTTATATTTATATTTTATTAATAAAAGAGAAGCGTTTTTAAAGTATTCGAAGAAGCTCTTTTATATCCCTTATATTAATTATTAAGCTTTATAACTCTAGAGAAAAGAGATATCTTATTCTCTTAAAGACTTTATTAAATAATATTTAAATAATTCGGTAATCTAATAAATCTTATTTATAATTATAGTAGTTAGTATTATAATCTATAAATACTTCGCTAAGTAGGCGATTATTTATAGGATCTTTAGTATATTTCTTATTAGTTTTAAGTAGTTATTTAGATTTTATTAGAGAGGAAATCTAGCTTTCCTTCGAAGTTAATAAATCTAGATATTATTATACTTCTAGGCTCTATCTAGAGTTCTTTATATCTAAGAACTAGATTCGCTACTAAAGTAAGGATCTAAGGATCGTCTTTTCTTTATAAATATTATAGTTAGTATCTAAGGAAGTAAGATTATTATAAAAGAGTAATATCTCGGCGTTATAATACTTATTCTTTATATTATTCGGAGGTAAGGAAGAGGTAGGAAGTAGATTAGATTATACTTCGTCTAGTATATTAACCTATTAACTTCTTACGTACTTCTTACTTAGGGGTATTAGGGGTTATTAGAGGCTTAGATAAGTAACTAAGTAGTAATCTTATAAAGAAGAGTTACTAGCTAACCGGGCTTATAACTATCGAACGAAGGAATAGAGTAAGTGACTTAATACCAAGATCTTACTATATCGAGTAAGTAGTAAAATGAGTATAATTCTTAGAAACCTCTAGATAAAAACTCTGACCTTAGTCAGACTTCCAGACCGCTCTTCTAATGTCTAGTAGAAGCACAGACCGCTTATCCTTTCTGACCGAGGTCAGAAACTAGGACTACAGACCGCTAATAGCTTGCTAACAACAAGAAGTGGGTCCTACTTATGTACAAAGAGAAAAACTAGTAATGACGGGACGGGCAAGGAGTCATTCTGGTCGATACCTTCTTTATTTTAGTATACTTAATATTCCTTACTAAAGTTTGGTTAAATAATATAGACTTCCTTTACACTATATATATCATCTTATATTTGTAACTGCTTCGAGGGTCGAGAAAAAGAGTGTTATACTAACGGGGTACCTAAGTACCTTTTGTATAGGTAAGTCATACAAAAGATACATAAAATTGCAAATCTGGTATCTGGTGGTGCGCACCAACAACCGTTCCGGTTGTTGGGCGCCTGGCACGGCTAGATCTTAGTTTTTTCTATTATTAATATACTTCTTTTTCTCTAAGTGATTTGCAACCGATTTGGAATTGATTCTTTTTCTTTTACAAATTCCACAATTGATTTGCAAGTGGGTTGTATTTATTTTCTTCCATTTATTTTCCTCCATAACCTCTCATATAGACCATGGAGCAGATTATGGAAGTATGTGGCTAAGGTGATTCAGGGGCTATGTTTTTTACAGTGGTGATACCATAATAAATAACACTTAAGCTGAAAATGACTGCCAAGATAGTACCTACGGGATAGACCAGTGCCAACAGTGGATCTGGCCATATAGGCCTACTGCCTTGGGCAGAACCAGACACCCAACAATACGTGAACTGGTGAATGATTTAATAAGTAAAAATTTATATGTGGAAAGTAAAAATGTAGGGGTTTGAATATCACAGACCTACCTATGTACTTGTAGGTAGATAGATGTGCACGGATGGATCCATCTGATGCTATTTCCTTCAATGGGGAACGTAATATCGAGACCAGGGTAGTCACTTGAAGAAACCGACCTGGTTGAGAGGCATATTGGTTCCAAGAGTTAGACTCTTATGATTCCTTTGCTGACATGATCTCAAGGATCAGGGGCGTATTCAACAACGTCTTTTTCGCTGCTTCGTCACCTGCAGCTGCTTTACTCAAACCCTGACCGGAGCCCAGAAACCTTTTGTTCCATCCCCATCCAGTGAGATATAACGCGACAAAGAAAGTCTGTGTGCCACCCTTCTGCTGAATGGATGGACGCTCCTCAATGTATTCAAGCTTGACATTTTTGCCCATAATTTTCTTAGCGAGAGCCTCCTTGGACCGTAACTCCCCTTTCTGATGCCCCAGGTTCTTGAGAATCGGCACCCATAAACCTGCTAGCCAATGCTCAGCTATTTCATAGCCGCACCCAGGATTGGATAGTATGACTGCTGCGACGTAGGCTTCGAAGACGTCGCCCTTTGTTTTGGTCCATCGCTTTGACGGGGTATTGTAGTTTGGCGGCACAGAAACCCTGCGGTCCAAACCAAAGCTTTCGGCGAAGCCCGAAAGTGTTTCATTCTTAACAAGGATCTCCCGAATCTGTGATATTCGACCTGCTGGTAAATCTGGAAATTTCTCCCAGACGAGTTTGGTTGCAATCAGCTCAATGTATGCATCCCCTAGAATTTCGAGTCGGTCGTAGGTCGTGTTGTTATTGTTGCTAAGAGCTGGATGGGTAAAGACAGCAAGTTCCAGCTTGTCATCCATGATCGGGGGGAGCCTAGGGTCACAAGATCCACCGACAAACTTGGAATTGTGAGCTGAGTGATGTGATGTTGGGACCTCACCAGCCGTGGAAGAATCTCTGGAAGGCAATTGATTCTTCGTCCCACGAAATGTGTCATCTAGCTTCAAAATTGCGGCCATAACCTCCGACTCAGCACCGATGAGATCGGGACCGGTTGAAATTTCTTGAACAAGGCGTTGCAGAAGAAGTAGACGAGAATTGTTGCTAGACTTGGCCAGGCTGCCGCTGTCACCAATAGAGAACTCAGTATCCGACGGCCGCCTTGATTGTTGAACCTTGTGCAAGCAGATGTTAGAAACTTAATTGAATCCACAGGAATTTACTCAGTAGGATGAGAACACAGTATTCACCTTGGGCCGTTTTTGTGAGTGTTGTGTGGCATCTGACCCAAAGACGGAGGATGGTCTTTTCAGATCTACCATTGGCCTTTTTAACCCTGCTGAATCTGCTATCTCCTTGTCTTGAGGCATATCAATTGTTGTAGCGACTGTTCACTCTCAGTGCGGTTTTGCTTGCGCACTTTTTTTTCTCTTCTCTCTTCTTTTTGCTCTTCCCCGAGGTAAAATACAAGCATGGATGATATGTAGGCGGTATACTCCGGGAGGTCACATGACCACGGGGCAAACTTCAGTTCGTTGGATAACATCTGTCTATCAACCAAGCTGCTGTGCACAGCTGCTTCACCCATTTCTATTTGCATATGATTGTTCTGAACCTCTGAGAAAGGAAAATGGCGTCAAATCGGATCTTGGATCTAGTCAAGGTTCAACCGCCCTTTTCATTCCACTGTGGTGGCATTCACTAATTAACAATTCTCTAGACCCAATGCCGCATATTTTCTCTCAATTTCAATCCACAACGACTTCGACTTGGAAACAAGGTCTTGAGACAGCGCTTGCGTGGGCCAGCGCTTGCAGCCTGGTATCCAAAGCAAACCGTGTCTTTCCAAGATTTACAAAACACTTATAAGCCTCTTGGATTGACCACATTTGACGAAGCCGAAGATGACAGAGAAGAAGCCATTCAGATGTAAGAATTATTCTCCGACAACGCATACGCTCACTAACCACCTGATTCATAGTGCCAAATTACGGGGAAAGGGCCGGCCGAAGAAGAAACGAACTGCTGCAGGTAATCTCATCCACTTAATGGTTTCCTAGTGGGATCAAAATCTAAAACTTAAACAGAATCGAGATCCGCAAAGAAGAAGAAATAGACCACCTGTCTAAACCTTCTAGGGTTTACCGAGCTCAACATTGCACCACTCACATCAACACCGGCACATTTTCTATATCTGGACTATCTCCCTATGATTTGGCCGGGCTATAGAAACACTACCCTGCAAAGCTGTTTAACTCCTTTGCCTCAGGTGCAAATTGTGTCGGGATTTTATTTGTTATCTTCGCCTATAGTCTCGTCGGACATGGCTTGTTTTGTTTTATATTTTGTACAATAATATTTTGGGGTTCTCATGCCAGTAGTTCATTGGAACCATACTCAAAGTTCTATGCAAAGAGTTGAGAGTTTTGATCAAATACATATAGAACAACATGAATTAATCGGTAATTGCATAACAAATGAGAAGACCCTACAAGCGTAGGAAGGGTTTTAAGCTCTGCAGGTTGCTTGCATCTATTTTACGTAGGGGACGCTAGTGTGGCAAAACATAGGCGGTAAGGCATTGTAGCTGGACGCACGTGATGACAATTGAGATCCAATATATTCTGTTTTTAACCTTGTCTCTCCCACTCCATCATCTTTCGCTAAATCTATCCTTGCATAACACTTGCACTTCAACCAGACTGTCAGTGCCATATCTCTTTTCATTTCCGCAATATTCTCCACCTGGCACCGCATTCATTGAGCGGCTACCAAACCTTCCAGCGACCATGAAATTGAGCAAGAACCAGCTCAGAAGAGCCAAGAAAAAAGCCCAGAAAGCCGAGGTAAGGCAGATATATTCCTCAAAGTATCTTAGCCATAACCGACCCAAATCTGACAATACTGTCTAGACTACGAGCCTTCCCATTGACAGTACCTTATCACGGGAGCTGTCACCACCTCCGGCAGTGGCTCAGGATGCACCAACTGATACCAACACCGATCTGCTCACCGAACCAAACGATCCGCTATGGGAAATGTACAAAAGCGTCGCCGGAAGATTCGACGAGACAGTGAACGAAAATTTATTGACGAAGGAGACTGATAAACCCGAGGTCTTCTTTGACGATGGTGATGAAATACCCGACGAAGAGCAAGAGAGCGAGCACAAGATTTCAAAAAAGAAGCGGAAAGAAATGAACAAGCTATCCGTTGCTGAACTCAAAGCAATGGTGCGAAAGCCTGAAATCGTTGAATGGACAGATACATCCGCCCCTGATCCTCGACTTCTCGTTCACATTAAAGCCCATCGCAATGTTGTCCCGGTTCCCTCTCACTGGTCGCTCAAACGAGAGTATCTCTCATCCAAACGGGGAGTGGAGAAGGCGCCGTTTGCTCTCCCGAAATTTATACAGGAGACCGGAATATCTGAAATGCGCGATGCTGCTTTAGAGAAGCAGGAACAGTCAAGTTTGAAACAGAAGCAACGGGAAAGAGTGCAGCCAAAGATGGGCAAGCTGGACATTGATTACCAGAAGCTTTACGAAGCATTTTTCCGTTTCCAAACCAAGCCAGAGCTGACTCGTTACGGTGAGATATACTATGAGGGCAAAGAGTACGAGACCAATCTCAAGCATCTCCGACCCGGCGAACTGAGCGATGAGCTAAGGGACGCTCTTGGTATGGCCCCAGGAGCCCCTCCCCCGTGGCTCGTCACCCAGCAGCGACATGGTCCTCCATCCTCCTACCCCGCGCTCAAGATTCCCGGCCTCAATGCGCCGCCTCCCCCGGCGCGTCGTGGGGCTACCACCCCGGAGGTTATGGAAAGCCACCTGTCGATGAAAACAACCGCCCATTATTCGGAGGTGATATCTTCGGCGTTTTACAGCCTCAACAGCATGCCCAACAAGGAGAGCCGATCGAAAAGGATCTTTGGGGAGAATTGCATGAACCAGAAGAGTCAGAAGAGGAGAGTGAAGCAGAGGACGAGGAGGATGAAGATGCAGAGGAAAGCGATGAAGATGGTATGGGTGCAGGTGCTCATTCTCCTAGTGGCATGGAAACCCCAAGTGGAATAGATTCAGCAGTACCATCTGAATTTGTTGGCGCTGAGAATGTTTCTGGGGAGTTTGACGTGCGCAAACACCATCGTGGTACTGACACAGAGGACTCCGTTCACCCTCGGAGTGCTTATCAAGTCATTCCCGAGAGGCAAACAAACGTGGAAGGCTTTTTCGGGGGTGATAGGGCCTACGACCTTGGCGGATCAACAGGCAAGCCTCCTGTTCTCGGCGCAGAGGACCAAACCCGCAAACGCAAGAAGCCTGGGGATGTTGAAGTGTCTGTCAACTTGGATGCAATTCAATCTGGCGATGGCCTCAGCAAAGAGAGCCTCCAGAGCATGTACGAGTCACAGAGACAGCAGCAGAATCCACCGAACTGGGGTTTCCAGGAAGACCTGAGTGATATGATTGCTCAGGAGCACCGCAAGAGATTCCGGAAGGAGGAGGAGAGACGAGGGAAGCATTAAAATATGCTTCTTTCGGTGTATTTCTTATTTTCTTTCTCTTGAGTTCCCTGGGGCGTGCTTCTTTCATGATGAGCATTGGAGTTTGGCTGCTTTGGTGTACACTTTGGGTTGCAAGAAACCCTCTGGCCTGTAATGTACGGTTAGTTCTGAATCGAGGTTCTTATTGAATAATCGATGAGACTCCAAGGGTTGTACTCCGTAGATTTTTCTGTCTAGATGCCCCAAGTACATAATGTATGTACGTACACATACATTGAGGCCCACAGTCACGGGAATTGATTCCAAAAAGGGTTTAGCTCGTTTATCTCATCTATCATTCCTTCCAAGGTTGTACTTTTGATCTACTTTCACCCTCTCTCTCCCCAGGAGACGGAGAAGTAGCACTGGGTAATTGTGTGCTCTTGTGCTTCACCGTCTATTCTCACCCCGGAGTACTCTGCACTTGATCTTACCTCCTCTAATATCCATATTCTCTGTGCTAGACATGGACTGGGATCGCAGAAGGTTTGTAGGAGCACGAAAACGTTTGAAAGGAAGCAAATTTTCTAAGTATTTCCCTAGATTCGATGAGCGAAGAGGTGGTGAAAGTTATCGTCCCGCCGAAAGAAACGGTCGTTCCCCTTCTCGGGGGTATGAAATTCGTCACCGACGTTCGCCACCACGAACCCGAAGCCCTCCTCGACCACGAGCGGACACTTGGGTACCGTCATCAAATAGAGGGTATGGACGCTTACGAAGTCGGTCACCACCACCATACCGGCGCCGCTCACGTACTCCTCCGGGGAGAAACTTCGGTCCACCTCCCTATGAAAGACGACGATCCCCTCCAAGAAGGTTCTCGCCTAGAAGAGATGAAAGGGTTAGATCACCGCCCCAAAAATGGCGCTCGAAATCGCCCTACAGTGATGGCAGATCACACAACGTCTCCCGCGCTCGCAACAGCCCAAAACGAATACGCGATACAACTCCTGGCAGCCAAGTCTTCCGACCCACGAGACGAGACGGCCCTGCCGTCTTGAATATCGACAAACACCCTAGAGCTTCCTCGCCGAGGGCACAGCCAGATGCCTTGTTGCCACAAAGTCCAATTCATGTCCCGCATCGAGACCACCCTCGTGATGCGATGAAACGAGATCGGACTTTGTCGGCATCAAGACATGTTTCACCTGCACCGTCACCGCCCGCCCTGATATCTCGACGTTCTTCGCCGACTACAGAAAAGCCTGTTGTAGCTTCCAACAGAGCTCGTAGTCGGTCGCCGATTCGCTCTCCGGTACTCTTCCAGCAGTCGTCGAACCCCTCAGGTCGATCTCCGTACCGGGATCAGATCTACGATGCGGAGCCGCCCCCTTACCCACAACAACAGCCAGATCTTGAGAATCGAGTATCGGTTGGCAATCATTCGCCTTTTTCGATCCCAGGGAAAACACATTTGGAACCCCAGACAAGCGGGACCAGGGTTGGTGGCAACATCCCTACTCAACCGAAAAACCACGGTGCAAGCCCACTTCCGCAACCACCATCGGGACCTTATCAGGGACCAAGGCCGCCATCTCATCAGCATCGTGGTCCTCCGCATGTCTCTTTACTCTCAGCGCCGACTCGTCCTCGCCGCGGACCTGGCCCACGTGAAGCTTGGACGGGATCTCCGCCGGTACGTCGTGGGACCGTTGCGCCTTCGCAAGTCCCACCAGCAGGTCCTCGCGCTTCTTTTTCATCTCCCGTACCAGGTGGCAGTTACCGACACCCAGCTTCTCGGCAACCCAGCATTCCATCTGTAAATCAGCCATTGACTCAGAGGGGGATCAACCACCTTGCAGGCCTATGTACTATCTTACCGGAAGGTCGAAGCCTTCCGTCGCTTCTAGATCCTGCTGTGGAGAAGCGGTTGGCTCAGCTTGATGTTGACAAAGAAAAACTCCTTGAACAGATCGCCGAGACGCAGAGGTCCAAGCGAGCGGAACTTCGAGACTGGGATCGACTCGATCGCGAAAGCTCAATCTGCGCACTTAAGAGCGAGCTAGCTGAGGGCCATCTCCAGCGAATGGCCGATGAGAGCATTGGGGGTGGGAACTTGTTCTAGCGAGGAAGATATCCATGTTTGTCCTACAATGGGAATTCATCTCGGCGTTTTATTTGGTCATGTGTCTGGTTGAGATCTAGGTAGCGAGTATGATTGTTTTTTCTTCCCCAAGGTTGTATCAATATGATGACTTGACGATATTATGCAAGGTGCCTACCTCTTAACTAACTAGGTAGTGTACTCTATAACTAGTTAGGGTACAATAATACTCAACTTCCAGTATAAAGTACATGTATTTTCAGCAGTAAAATCCCTGTATTTGCAAAAAAAGAAAAAGAAATTTGTACATTTGGGAGTAAACATTCTCTCCTCACCATTAGTCAATACTAATACAATACATCCATGGATCCTCTGTCAGGTATTATTTGTACGGTACATACATATCATAAATACATGTATTCATATGTACTATGATGTACTCCCCGTACCTGATCTGCAAGTAATTTAAGTTCCCCTTCCATTTTCTTGCCTTCGTGTCAACAACTCAGCTATTTTGGTGGAAACTCCTACCAATTCTCAAAGTCGTCTCCTCCCCTCCCCTTCATTTCTCTCTCTTCCTCTCTCTCTCTCTCTCTCTCTCCCCCTTTCTCCTAGCTTAGGTCACTATTCATATTGCTTACTGAGATCCTTCTCCGGCATAATGAATCTCTTCAGATTATTAGGTATGACATAACACCAATGGAACCCAATGCGATATACTAACGCTCAATCGCAGCCGACTTCTCCCATCTTGCGTCGATCTTCATGCTTCTGCAGAAGATGAAGACGTCAAGCGTACGTTCTCCTGTCCATAAAGCCACATAGGTCTTCCAATTAATAGCGGATCGCAGAGTTGTTCCGGGCTGTCGTTCAAATCGCAGGTGTTATACCTTCTCGTCTTTGTCACTCGGTATCTCGGTAAGCCTCAACGTTACTGTCGGCATTATGTTCATCGCAATCGCTCATGCGACTTCTAGATCTTTTCTGGACCTTCACCGACTCCCTGTACCTCACTACGTTCAAGCTTCTGTTTATCGGTTCCTCGGCCTACGTCATCTACCTCATGCTCAACGACTACAAACCTACGCATGATCCCAACATCGATACTTTCAAGGTTCAATACCTCCTCGGAATTAGCGCGGTCCTCGCGATTCTCTTTCCACGCGATTATCGTATCTCCGAGGTTGGCTGCATCCTATCTATGGTGCGGAAAACAACCGGACTAACTTCATATAGATACTCTGGACTTTTTCCATCTGGTTGGAGTCGGTTGCCATATTGCCACAACTATTCATGCTGCAACGAACCGGTGAAGCAGACACCATCACTACCCACTATCTGTTCGCTTTGGGACTCTATAGGGCACTCTACATCCCGAACTGGGTCTTCCGCTATTTCACCGAAGCCTCCTTCCAACGTTCCTTCCAACCTGTGACCATTATCGCCGGCATCATTCAAACGTTGCTTTACTCCGATTTCTTTTACATTTATTACAACAAGTAAGCCCGATTGGCTCCCCTCCCCTGTATGGTGTGGACACTGACTTGCGCGCCTTTTTTCTCCCCAGGGTTTTGAAGGGCAAGAAGTTCTCGCTTCCTGTTTAGAATCCTTTCCTTTTTTTTGAATCAGTTGAGGAATTGATGATATCTTCATTCTTCTCAAGGTTCCGAGATGGAATTTTGAATACGGATCCACTCGTTCCTTTTTATATTTTGCCTGGAACACTGTGATCGCCTTTCTCACAGGCACCGAGTGCCTAACCCGTGCAACACCCCCTCCAGCCCCGACACTGGGAGTTGCTATGAATTAATGTTTTCATGTCGCCAGTCTGTACGCATTTAGGAATGGTCACATGAGGCTTAAATAAACCCGGGATTGACTACCAAATGTCGCATATCGAATACGATCATGGACTATGTGCATATCTGATTGTTGTATTCTATGTTGCTGAGCAGAGAAGGGAAATTCTCTTGTTAAAACTTCTGTACTTTTGGGTCATTGGGCTACCACTCAAATGTAGCCTATGTTGTATAATGCAAGATTCAAGATTCAATTATTCAATTATTGAGAGTATTCAGAGTATTCTTTGTTTTTGTTTTGTTTTTGTTTTGTTTTTTCCATATTTTCCCCCATTTTTATTCGAATGACTCGCCTTCCATTCACCGTTGGGATGATCCCTTGTCTTTTTAGTACACTCAAAGCCCCGTACCGGATCGGAATCGACCTCGCCCTGTTTGTGTATGCCACCATTCAGACTTGTGGTTGACAAGGAAGCATAAGACGATCTAGAGGCTCCTAGCAAGGTATACTTTTGAGGAGCACACAATTAGTGCGCTCCGATAATATCAAAAAGCAACATCCACACGAGTCGACCAGAAAATATAATCAAAACTCTCGTTGAGGAGCAGTCCCATGCGTCGGGACATATCCCGTTGTATAGCTCAATTGGGATGGAGGGATAGATAAATCGGTGGAGAAAGGATCCAAGGTGCCAGCAATTGAGTGTGAAAGATTGCCCATGGGACCTTGGAACGACCGAACTCCGTTACCTAGATTCGAGCGACCTTGCACATTTTGATGACCATCCATCCACCCACCGTGACCGTGTAGATGACCAAAATAATCTGCTTGCGTCCTGTCAAGGGGGATTTGACCAGCAAACGTCGACTCTCGTCGCGAAATTGGCGGCGACGGCAGTTTGGGGGATCGAGAGATCATCTCCAGTCTAGGGGAGCTTCTTCGCGAATTGGGCGGCGTCAGACGTGATCCCCCACGGCGCACCTGGCAGGTTGGACAGATCTTGACGAAGCGGGAGATCAGTTCCTTGGGAACCCTAATGATGTGGTCAGTTGGCTGTGGATCAGTGCATTTTCACATACATACATACATATATATATATATATGTATGTATATAACAGGCTTGGATTTACCCACCATGAATAGATCCGCCGGACCTGAGCAGATGTCTTGTCTCGGCCACCATGCTGGCATTGCTGATGGGCCTTGGTGAGGATTTTGAACAACTTTTCCCGAATTGCAACCGGCTTTCCCTCGTGACAGATCATCTTTCTATGCTTTATGTCGCAACGAAGCACTCCATCAGCATTGGTTGATCATGTCCGTTGGGACAAGCGAGACTTACATCCGATCCCACAGCTTGGAGCTTGAACATCTTTTTAACCCAAAACCTGTTTTATTCTTAGCAAGCGTACGCAATTGATTAAATCAATGAAATTCATACCGAAATTGAGCTGACTCCACTGCCGTGTCTTTGGGGTCAATCAACACAGTTCTGATGTTACGTGCTCTCTTAGCATATATCAACGCTTTATCTTGCTTTTTGATGGACAGATCCTCAACGTAGCTAGAATGACAAGAGATCAGTCTTTAAGTCTAGCATAGAATGTCACGGATCACTCACTTTTGCATCAGTTGATCAAACTCCTTTACATCAGGGAAGCCGCTAAGTGCAGGCACTACAGCCTCCGACAACAATGTAGCCTCGTTGTGAGACTCCTGGCTTTCAATCTCTGTTTCACCCAGCGGGTCGCGGGGTAGATACCTTGGCCCCTGAAGGTAGCGCGATTGGGACATGAACTGTGGGGGATGGTGTAGCCTAGGGTCATCCGGTGTGGTCATCGATGGAATCGAATGTTCCGACGTGTATTGCAAATGCTGCAACCCCGGAGACAGACTCGACTGTGGGCCATAGGGCTGCCCAAACTGAGACCCGTATGGGTTGAAGGAATGCTGAGGAAAATGATATGAACCAGATCCATGTGTGTTGAAATCATGGCTCTCTTGCTTGAAGTCATGACTCTCCGGTTGACCGTACGAGCCAGGCACTGCCATTTGGTGATTCATGAGATATGGATCATTCCCTTCGTTGCGCCTTGCGAAGCTGCTCATAATTGATGCTTCGTTTGAGTTGGAATGTCACTTGATTATTGTTCACCTCAGGTCAATCTGCTTCAAACAGACAGAAGAAGAAGATAAAAAAGATGTATTGGGGAAAAAAAGAAGAAGAAGAAAAAAAAAAAGAAAGGCCAGTATACAGCGAGTCTCCGAGGGTGATGATAATAATGATAGTGAAACGAAGACTGGACTAACTCGTTTGCATGTAATCGAGGAAGAATTGCCACAGTACCCTGGTACACCACAGCAAGTATCACAAACAGAATTGAACTGTGTCTACAAAGACCACAGTACTGAGGGTGGGATATAGAAGGGGGACAAAGAGGAATAATTCACAGAAAGGCCATCTAGAAACGGGGTAACAATTCTATTAAAAAGATCCCACTGGAACAAACAGTGCAGGACTGACATGGCTGATGCCCAAGATGAAGTGCACGAGACCATGTCGCGACAGAGATAGCGGACAGAAACAACAGAGGGCATCCCTGGACGAGGAACAGCAAATATTCCACGGAGAAAAAAGAAATGATGGAGCTAGGCGAGTCGAACAGAGCTCTGTAAGGTACGGAAGCATAGGTATTACCAAAGCTTGCAGGGAAGATAGCGACATGGGTCTAACGAAAAAAAAAAAAAAAAAAAAAGGAAAAAAAAGAAAGGAAAAGCAGAGAGAAAGGACTGGGGTTCGTGGTCAATTCTTTCCGACTCGCCGAAGGTATCGAAAAGTGGAAGCGGGCTGATACGACAGCGCACAGAAGCAATGGTGATACGGAATCCTGCCTTTCGATGCCCTGAGGTTCAATCAGCGCCACCATT